GCCCTGCTCACTCTGCGCCCTGCTCACTCTGGGCCCTGCTCACTCTGGGCCCTGCTCACTCAGGTCCCTGCTCACTCTCACCCACTTTTTCCAGAGGTGCTTCCTTCCTTTTAAGTCCAGTCTGCTGCATTTTGTTGTTTTCTTTCTTTTATTCATTTGGGTTTGGGTCTTCAGTATAATTTGGCGTCCTCTCTTTTGACCTCTGTTTTTTCTGTGGCTCTTTCTCCTCTGACGTTGCCAGGGAGAGTGGCCAGGGTGGTGTGTGAGAGCCTCTTGTGACTGTCCCTGGCCCTGTGCTTCCCAGGGCTGCCCACCATCCACGCGGGTTGGTGGATCTGGGCGGTGGCGGTGCCTCCTGTCACTTCCTCAGGAGTGTGGCCTTCAGCCTGTCCTGAGCGGCCTTCCGGTCCTCCTTTTCTCTGTTTCCCTCTTGCTACAGTCACTTTTTAGCTTGTGGTGATGTTTCTGCGGCCCCAGAACTTGTTTCTGCCTCGTGGTGAGTTTCCAGGCAAAGGCTGCTCCCAGAGTCAGAGCTCTGTGTCACCTTGGGTGTGTCCCCTGCAGAGTTGGGCTGGGCCTGCCTGTGGGGCCTGCTATGTGTGGACACCTGTGCAGGGTGCGTTTCTGCAGAGGGCACTGTGGCCTGTCCTGCTGTGGCCTGGTCTAGCCAGCCTGCCCATGGAGTGTGAGGTGGCCAGCGTGCAGCTCCTTGTGCCTCTGGACCCTGTGATGGCTGCTGTGTGCGCAGGTTGGCCAGTAGGCAGGCCACAGGCAGAAGCCATCTGACCGAGGTGTTCTCTGGTCCTTTAAGCCTCGCTAGCACACAGAGCATTCCTGGCGCAGTGGGCGAGAAGCGACTCTAAGCCGCCCTGCAGGCGACTGCTGCCCACACGTGTGCACAGGTGCTGAGGTCCCCCATGTGTGTCCAGCCATGGCCCTGAGGTCCCTACGCGTGTCTGACCATGGTGCTGAGGTCCCCCACGTGTCCAGCCATGGTGCTGAGGTCCCTATGTGTGTCTGGCCACAATGCTGAGGTCCCCCACGTGTCCAGCCACGGTGCTGAGGTCCCTATGCATGTCTGGCCACAGTGCTGAGGTCCCCCACGTGTCCAGCCACGGTGCTGAGGTCCCCCACTGTCCAGCCATGGTGCTGAGGTCCCTATGCATGTCCAGCCACGCTGCTGAGGTCCCCCACTGTCCAGCCACGGTGCTGAGGTCCCTACGTGTGTCTGGCCACAGTGCGGTGCCTCTTCCCTGCGAGCCTCCCTCAGGGTGGCCTTTGCCTTAGGTTGGATGGTGGGCGCTGGCGAGGGTGGGGAGCTGAGGCTACAGGCCCAGGCCTGGTGGAGGACGTACCTGGCCCTGAAGGACCCAGGTGTAGCTGCCCTCAGCATGTGCTCAGAGTAGGCGCTCCCTCTCCTGGTGTCCCTGCCGTGGGGAGGAGCCAGCCCAGGTGTCAGTGAGTGACCAAGGGTCAGGTGACTTCAAACGTGAATGTTCTTGGCTCCAGAAACAGGCCGTGTGAGCGGCTCCACCTGTGTGAGCCTGGACACCTCGGGGGGCAGTGGGGTCTCTGTGGAGTCCCGACGGCAGAAGACGGAGGCAGAAAAGAAGAGTGTTCACAGGGCGGGGGGCCACAGGGCGCCACGGGAGCCTCGGGGACGTGGAGACCGTGGCCTCTGGCACGTGTGGTATGAGAGCCTGGATCTACCGTGGATTCAGGGTTCTTGCCACTGAGCCCCAGAAGTGGGTGCTGCGGGGTGAGGCTGTAGCACTGCAGCCTCTGCTGTCCACGTGGGTCCCCGTGGGTCCCGTGACTGCACACCCTGCACCCTAAGTGTCCTCGGTAAAATCAACTTAAAAGACAGACTGTTAGACTTGAGGCTCTAATGGCGTTTAGTAAAAGGGTTTTGCCGAAGCACTGGTCCTTGTGCTCCCGATTGGACGCCTTCAACCTGGGGCCTTTCAAGGAGCGTGGGCAGCAGTGCCAGGACCCCACCCTGTGTTCTTGGAGTCCTTGTTAGCGGATCCTCGCCTCGGACCATGCAGGAGCTCTGCCTGGCGGGACCCTGGAAGGGTCTGTGGGGTGTGGGCTCCAGGGCCACAGGACTGCCCTGCGGCCCCATGTGGCTCTGGCAGTCTGTTCCCAAGGAAACCCGTGAGCGGCCCGATTTGTACCTCCAGATGAGAACCAGCACCGGCTCGGGAGGCTGAGCCAGGAGGGTCTCAAGTTCAGAGCCCGCAGCCACCTAGGAGGCCCTCAGCAGCTCAGGGAGACTCCGTCTCAAAAAAAGAGGTTGGAGATGTGGCTCAGTGGTTAAGCCCCTGAGTCCAGTCCCTAGCACCAAACCAAGCCCTTAAAGCCCTGCGAGTCCCATTTCTCCTGAGGCCACGGGCTGCTGGTGTCGGTCTGGAGCAGCCGCTGGGAGTGCTGCTGGGGTTGGGACCCTCAGCCAGACTGCTGAGCAGTGTTAGTGGACAGTGTGAAGGGGACAGGCGGGCTGGCCATGGTCTGCATCTGGGCTCAGTCCAGGTCTTGTATGTAACAGTGCGGAGAGTTCCTCAACACGGGGTCCTCAGAGAGCCCTGACCTGACCCCAGCCCTGACCCCTGTGCTACAGGCGTGGTGTCCCTGGTGGCCGTGCACCCGTCCACAGTGAGCACACTCGGGAAGCAGCTCCTGCCGAAGACTTTCGGACAGTCCAACGTCAACATCGCCCAGCAAGTGGTAAGGCCTGGGGTGGGCAGGGGCCTGCTTCCCTCCCCAGCTGTGGGGCTGCGCCTCGCCCCGTCGCCTGGGCCTGCCGTTGGGGACGGCCCCTGCCGGTGTGGTATTGGAGGCCCAGCAGGTGCCACGGCCCTGGCCCAGGGTGGCCTCTGCCAGCTTCCTGCTGTGATGGCCGTCCACTGAGCTCAGCCAGGGGCGTTCCTTGGGTGCTGGAGGAGCTTTGTCACGACAGGCCTGGCCTTCCTCCTTGGCCGCCCTGTGCTCCGCAGACCGGGACAGCAGGACCGGCTTGTCCCCTCTGCTCGGGCAGAGCCGGGTGCCAGCCTGTCCTTTCCCTGGCTGGGCTGTGGTCAGGATGAGGAGCCCTGCAGAGCCACAAGCCCGGCGGCCTCTGCTGTCGGAAGAGGGCTGGGGGCAGCCTCGGGGTGGCAGGGTCACCTGCACCCAGAGCCCAAAGGCAGGACGGGCTTCCGACCTGCGGCTACAGGCTCCTGTCTGGTCCTGAGATGCGGCAGCCCTGGCAGCTGGGCTCCGTCTGCACCCTGGGCCTCCTGTTGAGACTGGGCCTCTGTGTCACGCTTGCCTCTTGTCCCTGGCCGCCATCCTGCCTGTGTGCCCCACCCGACCTGTGAGCTCTGTCCCCACTGCTGTCCTGGTCCTCTTGGTGGGAAGGGTGCTTGTGTTTGGTGTCCCTGTCCCAGCCCCCCAGCGCCCGCCCCTGCAGGTCAGCAGGGCCGCATACTGCCGTCCCACCCTGCAGTGTGATCGTACCTCCTCAGAGCAGACCGCCACGCTGGGGACTCTGATCTTGGCTTGGTGCTGCCCTGGTCCCTGATGACCTACACGTGGCCTGCAGTTGGAGTGCAGAAGGGCCACTGGGGACGTGCTGAGCTGGGCATTCACGGGGTCCTGCAGGGCTTCTGCCTCGCTGCCGCCCAGTGGTCACCAAGGCTGGTGCTGAGGTCCTGCCTCGGGCTGTGGCGTGTCGAAGCTTCTGCTCAGTGAAGCCATCTTTGCGAAAGGTGGAGATTGCATCTCCCTTTCCCCTTGTGGTGCCTGTGATTCGGTGCCCGCGTGCGCGAGAGGCTCAGCAGGACTCGGCCTGCAGGCGGCTCGGGCTCACGAGCCAGCTAGCGGGTCGAGGGCTGTGTCTGCAGCTTGACTCTTGGCCCAGGCGTCAGGGCTTTCAGGGCTGGGGGGCTCTGCCAGATGTCGTGGGTTGGTGCTCACTGCTGCGAGCGGTCCCTGCCCTTTCCACACACTGACGGCCTCAGGGAGATGGCAGCGAAGCCACACGGGCTCTGGGGGCCGGTGGCACCTGTGGAGGGGCCTGATGGTGGGGCGTTTAGGGCTCTGGTGGGGCAGGTTTCAGGCACAGGGTGACGTGGGCCCTCTCAGCTCAGGCAGGATCTCCCTCTGGGCACCGTGGGCAGTGCCCTGCCCAGGAGAGGGTTTGGAGGAGCAGCGTCCTGGTGTCCCTGACTGCCTCTGGGCTGCTCTCGCGGCGTCTGTCCGTGGGTGTGCTGTCCGGAGCACCCCTCAGCGCAGACGGGGTTCTGCCTGGCTCGAGTCGGTGAGGCTCAGGGGCTGCTGTGGCCGGGAGCGGCTCAGCGCTCGTGCCCACGCGGCGTCGAGACCCTGGGCTCCTTCCCAGCACCAGAGCAGTGCACAGCCAGAGCGAGGCCAGCCCTGGAGCCATGGTCCCAGGAGGTCCTGCGGCCCTCTGTGGGCGGAGGCCGGGCCTGGCTGCCGTCTCCCCTGCGCACTTTCCCGCCGTCGTGCCTGCCCCACAGTGGGACGTGGGGTCGCCTTCTCTGGCCGGTTCCAGCCTCACAGTGAGGACAGCAGAGAAGAGGTGCCTCTCGTGCCCTGTCACTTGCCCCTTTTCCTCCTCGAGGCTGGGACGTCGGGGCACAGAGCTCTGGTTGGCGAGGGCAGGTGTCCAGGCCGCTCCCTGCCCCAGGGGCCTCCGTGTCAGGGTCGGGGGACTCGTGCAGGTGGCCCACTGTCCCACCCTGGCGGCTCTTCCCGGGTGATGCGCCTGTGTCTTGTCCCGGTCTCTGCCTGGCCAGGCAGCCTCCCACTGTCCTCCCGCCCGGGCCTCGCCTTCCTGCCTCCTCCTCCTCCTCATGCGGGCACCCTCAGGCTCTCTTCCTCCCTCCCCCCCCCCACAGCGCCAGGGCACTGCCACGTCTGCCCGCCCCTCTTCCTGCCCTCTGCAGCAGGCTTGTGGCGAGGGTGGAGAGTGCCCACGGCCTGTGCGGCCCAGCCCTGCTGTGCCTGTCATCCCGGAGGGCTCACTGCGCCCGCGCCCGGGGCTGAGGGAGGCAGGCCGGCCGCGCCTCTCCCCGGGTGATGAGTGGCTCTGGGCCTCCAGCACAGCGCAGAGGCTGCCACGCCAAGCAGTGGGAGCAGGAGCGGGAGCGCCCTCAGATCTGCGCCCGGCAGCTCTTCCTCACACTGCCGGCCGTCCTGGCCAGGCTGGGGACCTGTCCGGCATGGGTGGTCCTTAGTGAGCACTGGCTGTGCACCTGCTGGACTTTCTGCCCTTGCTGCCCCTGGCCTGCTTGGGAGGCCCCAGGGGAGTCGGCTCCTGCAGCCGGGACATTGCCAGGACCCTCTGGTGGCGGTGGCCTGCCTGGAGCAAGCTGAGCAGCCGTGTCCCTGGGCTGTTCCCCGCCTGGCCCAGGAGTCTTGGAGCCTCCTGAGAGACGTGTCTCCACCCTGACTGGCGTTCTGGACAGCATGGAGGCTCCTTGGGAGATGACTCTCTTTCAGTTGACGTGGTGGCTGCTGGGCATCTGGGTCCCCAGGATGTCTATGACTTCTGGGGGCTGGACATGTGGGTGGACGGGTCATCAGCTGATCTCAAGTCCAGGCTTGGGGGGCCCAGGTCGTTGGCCCCATGGGCCTCGGGCAGCACCATCCAGTCTTGGTCCCTGACACTGACCGCTGAGCTGGGTGGCAAGATGCTGGGGTTTCCGGCATCTTCCCCCTGCTGCTGGGACCTGAGCGTTCTCGGACATTGTCCTGTGCTGCAGGCCCCAGGCTGCCCCATGGGTTGGGTCAGTCCCACGGTGGGCACGTGGCCCTGGTCAGGGAGCTGCTCTTTCTTTCTGATCTTTTCTTGGTTGCATGGAAGGGTGCACCTGTGTGAAAGTGAGCGGGGGGCGGGGGACCCCCTCACACCCGGGCACCCGAAGCCCGCGCCTCTGCCCTTTGCCCCATGGGCGGACTTGTTGGTGCTGCAGCTGGAGCAGGTGGCTGGGGGTGGCAGCATGGCTGTCTGGAGGGGCCGCATTGTGGTGCGTGGCTCCGTGGTGCCCTCTGGAGGGATGACCGTCTTCTGATGGACCCGCACCCTCTCGACTGCAGGTGATCGGCACACCTCAGAGACCCGCGGCCTCCAGTGCCATCGTGGTGGGAAGCCCACACACGCCCAGCACACACTTCGTGTCCCAGAACCAGCCCTCTGAGTCCTCGCCCTGGTCTGCCGGGTGAGCTCTCCCCGCCTCCACGCCTAGCCACTCTGCAGCCTCACCCGTGTTGGCCGGGGCAGAATCCCCAGCTCCCCAGACCAGCTAGTGGGAACGCCTCGGGCCGGGGTGTGGTGATGTGAGGTCCCCTCCCAACTGGAACCTGTCTCAGTGGCCTGCACCTGCGGTGGCCAGGCCCGGTGGCCAGGCATCTGCCTCAGTCACGGTTGCCTGCCGAGATTGGCCCTAGCAGTCCTGAATCCAGACCACAGCGGCTGTGCTGACACCAGCGGACGTCTGGCAAGATGGCACCCGGTGTCGGTACAGAGCAGAGGGTGCCTTCCTACCCTCTGTGCCGCCCCGTCCTGACATTTGCAGGCACAGTTTGCAGTCTGCCCCGATAGTCTTTGTCCCCTGGATCCTGACGCCTGCCCGTGTTCTCAGCGGGAACCCCGCAGCCGCTGGTCTTTGGCGCGGGGGACCGTCTGACCGCAGGCTGCCTGCAGACACTGACGGTGGCTCCCGTGTGTTTGAAGGAAACGCAACAGGAAAGGGGAGAAGCATGGCAAGGGCCTGCGGCACTTCTCCATGAAGGTGTGCGAGAAGGTGCAGCGCAAGGGCACCACCTCCTACAACGAGGTGGCCGACGAGCTGGTGGCCGAGTTCAGCGCCGCCGACAACCACATCCTGCCCAATGAGTCGGTAAGGCTGCGCGCTCGGCAGGAGGTCCGCGTTCCCAGAGGGCAGGGCCTGTGCCTCCCGCGGCCACACGGCCCGGCACGGCACTCCTCAGAGCGCTGGCAGGGCTGTTGCTGTGTCCCCAGGCCTACGACCAGAAGAACATCCGGCGGCGCGTCTACGATGCCTTGAACGTGCTGATGGCCATGAACATCATCTCCAAGGAGAAGAAGGAGATCAAGTGGATCGGACTGCCCACCAACTCTGCCCAGGAGTGCCAGAATCTGGAGGTGGGCTGCCGCTGGGTCCCCACTGCTGTCCCCGTCACTCAGGAGGCGCAGCCTGTCGCCTGCACCTGTGAATGACCCCGTGTGTCTTGGACTGTTGTGGGGTCGTTTTGCATCTGGTGGCGGATGTGCTGATACGGCCATGGGCGTGAGCGCAGCCGGCCACCCAGTCTAGACCCTAGCCATGTGCCTCTCAGTCCACATGGGCAGCACTTGCAAGGAAGAGGAGGGCTGGGGGTCCTTCCAGGCCCAGGCCTGGCTCAGGTCTGGGCCCATCGCTCTGACGAGGTTTGGGGTGGTCGTTTGGCGAGAGCCGGCCCCAGGTGCCGTGCCGAAGGGGTGAGGCCCGGGCCCTGGTGACGCTGCTCCGTCTGCAGGTGGAGAGGCAGCGGCGGCTGGAGAGGATCAAGCAGAAGCAGTCACAGCTCCAGGAGCTCATCCTGCAGGTAGCGGCTCCCGCACCGCGACCCCGTGTGCGGGTGGCCCTGCTGGGAGGCTCTGCTGAGGGTCCTCCCGCGAACCTCCACACGTGACACCGAGCGCGTCCCCGGAGTGGCGGCTCCGCGTGTGCCCTGTGAGCTTCCTGTGGAGCAGGGGCCTAGTGGCCAGGGCACAGTTCCCACAGAGCAGCACTCGGGACCCCTTGGGGGCCAGGCCCGTTCTGAGGACGAGGTCTTAGCCGGGGAGCGTGGCTGATGAGGTGCCTGCCATTGGGCAGCAAGATGGCCGGGTTGGCGACTGTACCAAGTGGCCCTGGAGCTGGACTTCCCCCTGGAGAAACAGGGTCAGCGTCTGCCATGGGGGTGACAGTGAAGGTGACATGCTTGTAGGGCAGGCTAATATCCTGAACAAGGTGTGCTAGAACCTTCCAGGAGGAGTGAGGGAGAGGTTGGGGCTCATAGGCCACCGGCCTGGGGGTGCCGTGGATATCCAGTGGCACCCAGAGGCCAGAATGGGGCAGGCCTCAGCCCTCTGCAGCGCCACGTCTACTGCCTAGGACCCGCTGTGACTCCCTGAGGGCTGTGTGCAGCACCCGCAGCCCAGAGGCAGCCCAGAATGCTGGGCCTGGCCCGGATCCCACCTTGAAGAAAGTCGGGGGCAGGTGGGACCCCTCCAAGGCCTGGCCTCCTGCCCTGGCCGGTGGCAGGAGGCCTTTGGTCCCTTGTTGTGGCCTGGGTGACCGTCCCCAGTGGCTGCACCTGCTGGCAAGAGGAGCTGGAGCCCAGCTTTGAGAGTCTGGGACCCAGGCCCTTGGTGCGGCCTTGTTCCAGGGCCAAGGTCCTTCGCAGAGGTCAGTCCTGCCTCTGGATGTGGCAGGTGGCCGGCACACGCGTCGTTGCCCTCCGCTCCTTGCCTTCTTCTGGGGATGTCCTCCGAGGCCTCTGTTCTCTGTGTCTCTCCCTGCCTCAGGGCAGAGGGCCAGCCCGGGCCTGGTCTTGCGTGCCAGCAGCCCCTGCCTCCACGGGGGGTGTGGACACCTCAGACAGAAGGGCTTCCCTGCTGTGGCCACGGCCATGCGGGTCACCTGCCCCTCTTTTTCAGCAAATTGCCTTCAAGAACTTGGTGCAGAGAAACCGCCAGGCGGAGCAACAGGCCCGACGGCCGCCCCCGCCCAACTCGGTCATCCACCTGCCCTTCATCATCGTCAACACCAGTAGGAAGACGGTCATCGACTGCAGCATCTCCAATGACAAGTGCGTGGCGGGCACCCTCGCGGGAAGAAGCCCACTGGAGCATCCTTAGTGCTCGTTGCTAGCACTGTTGGGAACGTGTGCTGTCCCCTGGCGGCCACGGGCAGCGTGACTGCTGGCGGGACGTCTGTGTGCTGGGCAGTGCCTGGCCATGGACAGCCGTTCACAGACTGGCCCCAGCTCTCGTCCTTTGTTTCTCAGTTCTTAAGTTTTGTACAGAGACGCGGCCACGAGAACCGGGGGTGGGTATGGCTGGGGTGGCCGGGCCTAGCCAGTGAGCGTGGCCTCACGGGAAGCCCGCTCACGCGCCTCCCCCCGCAGGTTCGAGTATCTGTTCAACTTCGACAACACGTTCGAGATCCATGACGACATAGAAGTGCTCAAGCGCATGGGCCTGGCCTGCGGGCTGGAGTCTGGCAGGTGCTCCGCCGAGGACCTCGAGGTGGCCAGAAGTCTGGTACCCAAGGCTCTGGAACCCTACGTGACAGGTCAGTCCTGCCCTGGGCCTGCATCTGGCTGTGATAGACCCGAACACGAGTCCCGCGGGTGTGGCTGCCGCCAGCCATGCAGCATTCGAGCCCCTGGGGGCTCTGGTCTGTGAGAGGGTCTCGAGCGAAGGAAGGGTTGTCTGCAACAGAGCCCAGGTGGGAGGACTGTGCTGGGGTGCCAGGGCAGTGGGCAGCCAGGAGGGCTGCTGACTTGGGTTGCGGTTCCTGTTGGGGGCGCAGGGGGAGGAGCAGCTCTGCTCTGTCCCCGTCTGGTGACCTCTGGGCTGCAGTATTGGGGTTTTGGCTGCAGGCGCTGGATGGCTCTGGTGGGCGCAGAGATGCCCACCCTCCTGTGGTCCTCAGCCCATAGGACTCCCTCCTGAGGGTCAGGGATCGTTCTCCCAGGCATGTGACCGTCTGACCTGACCCGTGGCTGGCTCTGGCGGGCCATGCACGGGGCCCTGGGCGCTGGGGTGGTGGTGGGCTCGTGTGGGCGCAGGCTTCCCCCGTCACCCGCCACTCTGTCCTTGCTCCCTTGCGCTCTCTGGGCTTCGCTGCCTGGGCCTCTTTTCCTCCTCTTTGCAGAAATGGCTCAGGGATCCATCGGAGGTGTGTTCCTCACCACAGCAGGCTCCACCTCCAACGGCACAAGGCTCTCTGCCAGGTGAGCCAGGTGGGGGCAGGTGGGGGCGGTGAGGGCGGGACCCTGCTCCGGGGCACAGCCTAGGGAGCCCACCGACCCTGTCCCCGTGAGAAGAGCTTTCTTTCTCCTGGTTTCTCACCCTCAAAGTCGGGAGCGGTGGGAGGCTTCGGCTTTGACCAAGCGGCCCTGGGAAGTGGGAGACCCCCTGCCCGCCGCCTCAGTGACCAGGGCCTCCAGGATCTCGTTTGATTTTCTGGGCACGTGTCTGAGACCCCGCGGGGTGCAGTTGTTTGTTTTTTGTTTTTTAACTTTGCGTTTTATAGTGCGTGTCTTTCTGTGACTAAAGGACTTCTATTTAAGTAAATGTGTGGTCAGCTTTGGGGCCAGCGTCCCCAGAGCAGAAGGCCATCCCTGGGTGTGTGTCCAGTGCTCTGACGGGGAGTGGGTGGCAGCCTTCACAGTGAGGGCCTAGGGGTGGTCTCACCGACTTTGAAATGACCCCCAGACCTCCCGTGGTGGCTCCGGGGCAGGCTCACACGTCACTGGATGCTGACACTGTTTCCTAGAGTCTCCGTAAGTTAGCCGGCAGGGTGGAGCTGATAAGTGCTGGCCTGTCCGTGGTGTGGCGCAGAGGTGCTCCGCAGCCACCGGTGTGAGGGGCAGGCCCTGCAGGTGGGGAAGCCATCGTGGCACAGGTGACACGGTGTGGGACGTGCTGTGGTGTCAGTCAGGTGGCAGTGCAGCAGAGACTTGGGTGGCATCTTGCAGGCCTGTCTCTTCATCCTGAATTTCTGCCTCGTGGACGTCAGTCTGCAGAGTGGCTGGCCCAGGTTGCTTCTGAGCTGGACCCTGGCGTCAGGTTCCGGCTCAGGTTGCCCTCTCCGTGGTCGGCCTTCCCCGGCTTGTCAGGGTCTGCAGTGAGGGAGGCACAGCCAGAGCTGCTTCTCCAGAGCACCATGTGGGCTCCCAGCTCGGGAGGGAGGCGGAGGTGGCAGGTTCAGGCCGGCTGGGCAGAGTGGTGAGACCTGTCTCAGAATAAAGAGGGCTGCGTTGTGGGTCAGTGTGGAGCAACCTGCACTTAACCCCGAGAACCGCAGAAAGTGGAAGCCAGTCCCAAGGGTGGGGCTCGGGTGCCGTGCCTGCAGCCCGTCCTGCTCGGCTCTGGCTGGCGCTCTGCGAAGCACAGCTGGTGTGATTCTTACTGAAGTGCTGGTCCCACCTGGTGGTGCTCATGCTGCCCGAGGGTGTGCAGGGCTGACCACGGGGCAGGGCAGCCAAGCCCAGGGTCGGGTTTTCTGGTGCTGCCCGTTTGGGGTTCTGATCCACAAAACCACATTTTCACACACGTCCGCCCTTCGGGTGCTTGCCCGGCCTGGGCTCTGCAGCGCGCCCACCCAGCCTGGGTTGCCGCTTCCAGCCTGGCTCCTGTGGCCACGGCACACTGCGCCCCCCGCCTGCCCGAGCCCTGGCGCCTCTGGTCCTGTGTGCTGGGGCATCGGTTGGGCGGGCTGTGACCCGCCCTCGCTCTGGGACAGGTGTCTGGTGCCACTGCGACGGCTTGAGGCTTTGCCATGACACCTGAGCTTTTGTTTCTCCTGCATCCTTTAAAAACCCAAGCCTGTTGGGGACACGTGTGGCCTGTCCTCGGGTTGGGCAAATGGGCCACACCGCTGACTGCCCTGTTTGGCCCCGTCCCTGCAGTGACCTGAGCAATGGTGCGGACGGGATGCTGGCCACAAGCTCCAACGGGTCTCAGTACAGCGGCTCCCGGGTGGAGACCCCTGTGTCCTACGTCGGGGAGGATGAGGACGAGGAGGACGAGTTCAACGAGAACGAGGAGGAGGACTGACCCTGCAGGTCCCCACCAGCTTCACGGGACGCTGCGCAGAGGAGAGAAGCTGCTTTAGTGTGGGGTTGTGTTTCTTTTTGGCTACTCCCAAGAAGATGATGCTGGTCAACCACGGAATCGAGGAGCAAGGACTGCCCGGGTCCCCACCCTGCCGCGGACGCCACCACCCCTGCTGACGCGGCGCCTGCACTTACGTCCACGGGAGTCCAGTCCTGCCCGACAGTGCTCGCTGGGCCTGCTGAGCCGTGCTGTGCCCGCCCAGCAGTGCTCACTGGCTGTCTCCGTGGACGTGCCCAGCAGCTCGTTTGCAGTGTCAAGGGCGCCATCAGGAGACCCAGAAGGTCTCCCGTCTCAGGCATGCAGCGTGCACAGGACAGGCCTGAGGGCGGAGACCTTGCGACTCGCTTCTCCGTGAGCTCCACCGGCCCCGCGGCCTGCGCGCACACTTCCTCTCTACTGCAGCCACAGATCCCAAGTCCTTCCTTCTCTGTGTGTTCTTGGGTAAGTTTACAGCTACGCTGGTGCAGCTCGGAAACTGTCCGGAAGGTTCATTGCTTATGGTAAAATTTGCCTGATTTCTTACAGGCAGCGTTTGGAAACTTTTTATTCTATAGTTGTTTACATACTTATACGTCTATCATTTAAAGACATGTACTGAAACAAATGTTGTATTTGTTTCTGAGCATCTTCCTGTAATCTATTATAAAGTTGAAATTAAACATAGAGAATGTTTTAACAGTTTTTTAACTCAAAATTTGTCAATCATTTTTAATAGTTCTTTTTTTATAAACAGAAAAAGGAATTTAAGGACAGGCAGTAGTCTCTTTTAAAATTTATTCACAGAAAACCGTTAACTGCACAGTTGCTGTTAGCTGCCTGTTCTGAAACAATAGTCTTTTTATTGAAACACAAATAAAATTTTCTGTAATATTTTATGGAATATGAAGAGACTTTAATTGTTTGACCTGTTTAACTTGGCACTGTTAGTTTTTATTAATAAAACGCGCATGGGCATTTTAAACAAGCCGTGTCTCTGGTTTGGGGTGGTCTGGATTGCTTGGGCTCCACTGAGGACCTGGTGCTGAGCAGCAGGAGCGTGGTCAGCCGGGGCTGACCTGACGCTGCTGCCGCAGCCGGGGCTCCTGCTGCCCCTGCTGCCCTAGCAGTGGGGGGGCCAGGAAAGAGGCTGAGGTGGGTGCGACCTGTGGGCGCCTGGGCTCCTTCCCGAGTGTCCAGGGTACAGAGGACATTTGTTCCTTGACAGCTTTTTAGAAGCTGAGGCCGATTTGAGATTTGACGTTCATTAAAAGAATAAGATCATGAGAGCACTTCAGAAAGCTGGCGGAGCTGGGGGAGCACCAGGGGGCAGCACAGCGTCTGCCCACCTGGACAGTGGTCTCGTGCAGAAGACTTGGCCAGATGTGACTCTTCAGGAGCTCTGGAAGGCCTGCAGCTTCCAGGTGGGGAGGCAGACTGCAGCTAGTGCTGGTCCCGTTCAGCTCAGGCCAGCAGCGTTCCCCGCCACCCGGCAGGCAGCTGGGCTCGAGTCCTGGAGGAGCCCGACCACAGGTGGTGGGGTCTGCTCTGCCTTCTGACCACGGGCACAGATGAGGTGGCCGGGCTCTGGGGGTGCAGCAGCCTGTGGGCCAGTCCCTCCCCTGGCTGAAGTGACTTCCGGGGGACATGAAGGTTGGTGCCCTCTTCTCCCATCCTTCCCCTTCCTCTTTCTCTTTCCCCTTTGGGAGTCAGACACTGAATCTGGGGCATTTCCCAGCTCTGTGTTCGCAGGAAATGCAGAAAGAACTGCACGCCCACAAACAGGCCCAGAGGAGACCCGGGAAGACTGTCAGTCTGCACGTCGGCCCATCCCGCTGCAGACAGCTGACCACTGTCCACAGCCAGCTCAGAGCCCAGCAGCCCCGGGGAGTGGGGGGTTCTGCTTCTCAGTTGCCTGATAACGGATTCAAACTTCTAGTTTCAGCAAAAAGACAAAAGCTACAAGGAAACAGGAAAGTGTGCCCTGTTTAAAGAAGTGAAAGCAACAGACTTGGTCTCTGAAAAAGAAGTGGTGGCAGGTACCTTGATAGGTCCTGAGACACTTGAAAACCCTCTCTTGAAGATGCTCAAAGAACAAGGAAGGATGCGGAGAAAGTCAACACCACGAATGAACAAAAGGAAGACACCAATAGAGGGGCAGAAAACCCAGCAAGAAGCCGAGAGGAGATCCTGGGGCTGAGACGTCCAACAGCTCAAGTGGGGAATTCCCTAGAGGGAGTCAGAGGTGGCACCAGCATACTAGAAGACAGGACAGTGGAGATCACAGAGACAAAGGCACCAAAGGAAAGTCGAGAAAAAGCCAAGTCTAAGGGATGTGGGACTCCTAGATGACAAACGTACACAGCTTGGGAGACTCAGAAGAGAAGGGCAAAAAGAATACCCAAGGGTATAGTGGTGGGCAGTCACGCAGTTTGATGGAAACATAGGATTATGAACCTCCAAGAAGTTTTAAGGAATTCTAAGAAAGAAACCCATGTACTGTAGTTAGACTTTTGAACAGTCTTGGAAACAGCAGTTGTTACACACAGGCTTACTTAATAACGTGATGCAGAGATCTGTCATCTTGGGGCCATGAGCCAGTAGGCAAATACCCTGAAAATGCTGGAAGAATCCTGTGTCGGCAAAATGGCCCTTCAACAGAGAGATTAAAGCATTCCCAGATAGAAGCCCAGGGCTTTACCGCCATAGGCCTGCCCTGCGGTCAGTGCACGAGAGTCCTGTAGGGTGAAATGCAGGGAAGCCAGAGGGTAACCTGAAGCCAGATGGAGTCAGGAGCTCAGTGGACGTAAGGATGTGGCAGTTACAAAAGCTGGTCCTGCCATGTTGGTCTGTTTTCTACATAATTTAAGAGACTAATGTGTTTAAAACAAAAATTTGTTTTTGTGCAGACGACGTATTGAGATGATCTCCCAGTATCAAACCCAGAGGTGTGGGACAGCTGTCAGGGGCCATTTCATAGGCTGTGGGAGGCGACCCTGGATCCATGAAAGGGTCACAACGTTAAGGTGCCAAATGGTACCACCATGGCAGCCGCACAGCACAGTTCTACAGTGTATACACCCAGGAAATAAGGAAGGAGCTCAAATATTCTCAACCAGAAAATTCAACTGAACGCGAAGACAGCGGTTCAAGAAATGCGGGATGAGAGAAGCCTAAAGGGTAAACCATCAGAGGAGGATGATGAGTAGTTGCTTCTCCCAGGACAGACTGGCAGACGGATAAGATGCAAGATCAGTCTATGTTGTTCATCAGATTTCTCTCTTTAGTTCTCAGGTCAAATAGATCACAGTAAAAGCGTGGATGCAGGCAGTCTCTGAGAAGGAGGTGGCCATGCTGATATAAGACAAAATAGGACTCGAATCAAGGAGATGGTAAAAGACAGGACATTGGTACTGAAACAAGGTTCAGTGAGGAAGGACATAGAGCAGCTATAAAGATCCACGGGTCCAAGGGTCAGTCCTAAGGACGTACCAAGCCAAAGTGAAGGGCAGGTGATGTTGGATACCTCACTCGATAATGGGTACAACAGCCAGGAGAGGTGTCAGGAAAAGAGGACACAGTCCACCAGACAGACCCCACCCACAGGACTCCCCCACTCCACAACCAGGGAGACCCCGCCCACAGGACTCCCCCACTCCACAACCAGACAGACCCCGCCCACAGGACTCCCCCACTCCACAACCAG